CTTCGGGACGTGGTAAAGGAGAAAAATACTGCTGCATTGTGGTTGAAGTTGGAGCAGCTTTGTATGACAGAGAGCTTGACAAGTAAGTTACACTTGAAACAATGCTTGTATTCTCATCACTTGATGGAAGGTGGATCTTTGGAATGTCGTCTATCGATGTTCAAGGAAATCGTCGCTGATTTGGAAATGATGGAGGTTAAGTATGATGAAGAGTATTTAGGGCTAATATTGTTATGTTCGTTGTCGCCTTCATATATGACTTTTAGAGATACCATTCTCTATAGTTGGAATACTCTTACAATTGATGAGATATATGATGCGATTTATTCAGATTAAGCATCTGGTCGTCAGTTCTGAGGCTCATGGAAAGGGTCTTGTTGTTCGTAAAAGGAATACGAGTAGTCATGGAAGGGGGCAGAGTCAAGGATAGCAATAGAGGTATAGTCTGTTGGTATTGTAACAACAAAGGGCACATGAAAAAGGATTGATATCAGTGGCAAAAGAGGTTTGCTACTACAGATCAGGATGAATGATCAGAAAATCCCGGTAATGTTAATCTTGCAGAAGAGAACGGTGATGGAGATTTGTTGGTGATTACTGAAGGTGACTCCAAACCTGACTAGGATTAGATTCTTGATTCGACTTACACTTTTCATATGTTTTCAAACTAGGATTGATTTTCTTCATATGAAACAGTTACAGGGGGTTCTGTGATGACGGGAAGCAATAAGCCTTGTGGAATAGCTGGGATTGGTAACATCAAAATCAAGATGTTGAATGGGACGGTTAGAACATTTGGCCAGGTTCGACATATTCTAGGTATAAACAGAAATCTGATCTCTTTGAGTGTTCTTGATTCAAAAGGGTACAGGTATACCCGTAGAGATGGAGTTCTGAAAGTTAGCAAGGATGCCAGGGTTGTGTTGGGGGGGGGGAAGTCTCAGCTATATGTGTTGGAAGGTTCGGAAGCAGCTACAGCTTATAGTTTGGTAAGCGGTAACTCATGTAGAGTTGGTTGTGATCGGATTGTTCATGGTGATTCGGACAATAATATTGGAAAACCTTCTAGTAGTTCATGTGGAGCTGGTTGTGATCTTATTGTTCATGTTGTTCATGGTGACTGAGCATGTTTGACAACTCAGTTGGAGTTGGGGTTCTTGTGGTGGTTCAAGCAGGTTTATTGAGTCGGCTGGAGTTGGAAGTGAACGGGGATAATTCAAGGAAGGATGGCACTCAAGGTAGTTCTGGTGGTATGCAGGGCTTGTATGTAGGTCA